AATGTGTTAAGTCAATTGTTATATGTTGTATGGAACCACTGATGTTTCTACTGTTTTTACTGTTTGTGAACCGCTGTGAGTCGCCTTCGGGCTTGAGATACAGCGGTATATAAGCAAAGTAAATAAATAAATAAATAAAATAAATAAATATGGAAGAGAGAAAGGTGATCAAATCATGATATTAATAAACATAACAGTTTAAATAATGCACCAGTAAGGCCTTTTCGCGAACCACCATGAGAATTTCGGGGGGGGGGCTGAAGCCCCCCGAGCCCCCCCCCCCCGCTACATGCCCCAGAGTGTGGTGGAGGCTCCTTCTTTGGAGGTTTTTAAACAAAGGCTAGATGGCCATCTGTCAGGGGTGCTTTGAATGCAATATTCCTGCTTCTTGGCAGGGGGTTGGACTGGATGGCCCATGAGGTCTCTTCCAACTCTATGATTCTATGATTCTGAGTTGTCGTTTGATGAAGCACCGCTCACTGCAGCTGCTGGGTGGCTGCCTACTCATCAGGAACTGGAGTGACAACAACCTTTGTCAGGCCACTTTATGTATGTGCCTTGAAAACTGAAACACACTCCTTTTTCCTGTCCTATATAGAACAATATAATAAACAATGCCCCTCAAGTTGCTGGAAAACTGCATTTGTTTTATCTCAAATCTATCAGAAGTACCGACTGCAGCTGAAATATGTTGCCTTACTCCATTCCAGAACTCTTTCTTTGCCTGTTCAGCTTTCCACCAGTGGCTCTTTCATAGCAGACAGTTTACTTCTGACAAGAAAGTTCCTTTCAAACATTTTTAAAGCCTGCGCAGTTCCCCCTTTCCTTCCCATTATCTGTCTATCAAAAACAAAGTTTGTTGTTGTTTTTAGCAACATTTGACATTAGGAGAACGGTGGTGAAGAGTGAGAGAAACACATATTTTTGGTGGCAGGTTGCAGCAGCACAACTGCAGAAGACAAAACAAAAAATCAATCTTGAACTGGAGAAGCTGTATATGGCTTACTACAACAGGTGAGGAATCCTTTGCTGACCATGTGTGAGCAGTAAAGCAGAGAGAAAAGGTGGAGAGGAAATATGATCTATAGGTTTGGGCAACAAGATTAAAATCATAAGAAAAGAGGATACCAGTGAAAGAAAAGGTCATCCCCGGATGTCTCGGAAGAGCACTTATGTCATCCCTAGAAAGTTCAAAAATGTTTTTATTTACTTATGGAAGGCTCATCTGGCCTGGTTACTTCATTTCACATGTGCATATTGTCAGTTTTGAGTAAAAGGCTTGCTGAAACAAGTTGAGCTGTTCTACTTTTTTGGAATCTACCCTATTATTCCCAAGTTATTTCTGCAACATGTACCTGCTCTGGAAAATAAATATAATTTCTTAACTCAGTTATATCAGTATACAGGTAGTTCCTGAGTTCCAAACATCCAGCTTACATACAACTCTTAAGAATGGGGGTGAGACAACAGGAAGTGAGATAAATTGGCCCCTAGAAAGGGAAATTCACTCCTGAAAGAGTTATCATGGGGAAAAGGTGTCCCCACCGAAGCTGTATCATCAATCCTTGTTTCCACAACAAGCCAATTTTTTTTTAAAAATCCATTTATCATGGGACAGAAAGTGGGGTGAAATCTTTTGAACAGGGACACAGACAGCAAAACAAACTCCACAGGGGTGTTGTTAACCCTTCCCTGTGCTATCCGAAGCTTTAAAATATCTATTTTGGCTGGAGTTACACTTTAAAAATGTACGTGTTCTGACTTACATACAAATTCAACTTAAGAACACACCTACAGAACTTTCCTTGTTTGTAACTTGAGGACTGCCTATAATGTTATGATTTCACTTTCACTTCAAAATCATAGCATTATACATGGGATTTGCAGGTTAAGGTTTCAGTGATATCACATTTGCACCCCCCCTCCCCCGTCTTCTCAAAAACCTTTGGGGCATATCTATTCTCCATTGTGAAAGCCGTTCCATCCTGCTGTACCTACAATGGAAGAATATCCTGGGATTCAGTGTTTTTGAGGTGCAGTTACTTACATTTCCATGCTATAGAGTTCTAGCCCATTACTCTGGATTGTAGCTCCAGAGCTCAGAAGAGAAGCCTAAGCACTTCACCAAACCAGAATCCCCAGAATTCCACAGGATGGAGCAATATCAATCAAACTGGAATACACCTGCAATAATTGTGTTGAGTAGATGCACTCTGAAACTGGTCTTTAGCTGATAGTTACCAATTAGAAGGCACATTCCTGCCCCTTGAGAGGATGAAAGGTTTTCTGTAGTTGCACTCATACAGGACTCATTTGATTCTTTCCTACCTCTGCGTAAGGCAGACTATGTCTGTGTGTGTCTTAATTAATTTGGGAAGACTGGCAAGCTGATGGATTGGATGTGAGCTGCTGGTGAAATGTCTGTGCTCTCCCCAGAGGGTGTGTTAAACTAAGCCAAATAGACCAAGAATTCTGTTAGCTAATGAAGGGAGAAATGAGACAGAAATAGGGGAAGATGGCGAGTTGTAGAGAAGATGAGAAGAGACAGGGAGCCATCAGTGGAAAGTGAATATACCAGCAGAAAGGGACAGAAATAGAAGGGAGGAAAAGGTAAGGCAGAAACAGAAGAGAAAATATAGTGCATGAAAATTACTGTGTGTGGAGTCACGAAGACAGAGATACTGCAGAAATGTTTACTCATCTGAATCCTGATGATATGCTAGGTGATCTTTGTTTAGTCAGTACAAGACACCTGTTTCTGTGGTAGGCTTACAAGCTACTTCTATCCAAAAAACACTACAGGGTATTAGTAATTTAGTGTTGCTTTCACTGGGACCAATCAGCCACAAAATCATTTCCAGAATGGATATAGAACCAAGCACTTGCTAGATTGCATTTTATTTTATTTTTTAAAAAACTGATTCTATAGCTATTATTGCTTCCCTGTCACGGCAGCTTTTGGCAAAGCCTGAAACCTCTGTAATATGACCAGTAACTAATCTAAACCTGTATTATAAATTGCAGACTTTGGGGCTATAATACAATATCCTACTTCAACTATTAAACCTTCCATGTTTAACATAAAGCCTAGAGAAGAAAATCCAAGAATTTACCTTTTGGCATTGTGACATTTTGGTATGACTATTTGATAAAACAAAAAAACAAACAAACAAAAAACAAGTACTGCTATACATGTATTGTTTTTCTTGTTTTTGTTGTTCATTACTTTTACTTAACACTTATATATTGTCATATTGTAAGACACCTAGAGTTGTTTTTTAGAACAATATGTTCAATGGATTTAAAAAACATTAATAACAATAATATTGTCTTCCCTTGGCTCTCAGATTTTCTAACACACCAGCACAACTACTTGTGAATTGTGTTTCTTAATACTGTATAGACCAGGCATGGACAAACTAAGGCCTGGGGGCTGGATGCAGCCCCCTGGGTGCTTACCCCAGGCCTTCCTAATTTTCCCTGTCCTCTTGGCAAAAGGACATGGCAACCCACCCTCTGGATCAGACACTGCATAAGGACTGTGCAAGCGGTCCCATCCTTATGCCAAAGGATGGCTCAAGGATAGCTTGAGGAAGGCACAAGGCGGCTGAGAGCCCTCTGGAGCATTCTCAGCTACTGCCTGTCTTATACCTCCCAGTATAATGGCAAGAGGATCAGGGGAGGAGGATGGGGAGGAGGATTGGAGTAGTCGCCGCATGTCTTGCCTTCCTCCCGGCATAAGGATGGGGTGAACAGTCCTGTCTGTATGCCAGGAGAACAACCTGGGCAGGGCCTGGGCCCTGCTCTGCCTCCTTCTGGCCCCACCCTCTTCTGGGCCCTACCCTACCCTACTCCAAGTGTGTGCTCGGCCTCAAAGCAAAAAAGTTTGTCTATGCCTGGTATGAGCAGACAATGTGCAGCTCAAACCTCTTGGAGTGATCTCCTCCCCATGTTATTTTCATAGGTGACAAAACTTAGGTGTTAAGTCAATCTGGCACAATTGTTACCTTGAAGCCTCCAATAACATTTATTTCCAATATAATTATTTGGGATAGGATGAGGAACTTTGTATAGACTTTGTGAACAAGAAATAAGTATAGAAGGGGAGAACAATGATATAGGCAGTCCCTGAGGTACAAATATCCGACTTACATCTGACTCCTAGTTACAAATGGGGAGGAGAGAACAGGAAGTGAGAGGAAATCTACCTCTAGGAAGGGAAATGCACTCCTGAAAGAGTTATCATGGGGAAAAGGTGTCTCCTGAAGATTTATCACCAATCCTTGCTTCCATGACAACCCAACATTTTCAAAACCTAAGTGTCACAGAGGCAGAAAGTGAGGTGAAATCTTTTGAACAGGAACACAGACAGGAAAACAAACATTACAGTGATGTTAACACTTCCCTATGCTATCCATAAACTAAAAAAAATTGTTTTGGCTGGAGTTAACTTAAAAATGTACCTATTCCAACTTACATACAAATTCAACTTAAGAAGAAATCTATGGAACCTATCTTGTTTGTAACCTGTGGCCTGCCTGTACTTTTAAGGCAAGGAGAAAGATCTTGACCTTCGAGACATTAAAATGCAATTCCAATCCGTTCTAGAAGGCATAGTCAAACATGAAGAATGAAAGTGTATGTTAGGGCTGAAATATCAGTTACAGTCCCATCATATATGGATGACCAGAAGCTGTTCACCTATGCTCTGGGGAAAAAGCAGTAGATTTCAAGTTACTTTTCACGTTCTTTGACTTCCAGCACACATATGACTGCTTCCCAGAATGTGCTGCTTGATTTTCCTTGGGCTCATTACGTTCCAGCCCCAGGGAATGTCAAATTTAAAGGCAAAAGTGACTGAATATTATAAGGTTAACATTCACAGAGGTATCCCAATCATCACAACATGCTGATGAATGTCCACCCATTCTGAATTGCACAGTGTCCCCTTAGGCTGCTGAATTAATTGGCTGATTTCAGTTCTTCCTCGCTCTAGTTACCTGCTCATGATGTTCAATGCCCATGCTGATGGTGTTCACGAGGATGGCAATCATGATACCACGGTTGAAGTATTTGCTCTCGACTATTCCTCTCAGTTTGACCCTCACTTCTTGCCACACATCACTGCAGAGTGTCACCTGGCCACCTTCTTCCCCCTCCTCCTCCTCTTTCTCTAGGTCTGCAGCTTCCACGCTTCCTTTCTTGCCATCTCCCTTCTCCTCTGTAGGGCCTCCACCATCTTCTTGTTCTGAATCAGCACTTTCAAGGACGGAAAGTCTCCGAGCTGCTTCCCGCTGGACCTTATGACATCTTGGACAGTTGCTGGGATCAGAAGTCAAAGTCACAGCAATAGGCTGGCCAAGGCCTTGTGAGGGCATGTAATCAGCAGAGTTATGTTTTCGGCAACGCCCTGGATAGAAACACATAAAGATATCAAATGCAAGGGTTAATCATTCATTTCTCAGAACAGTGTAACAGTACTCTTTCTCAGTATGTAATTAAGTGCAAGCAGCTCCTAAACTAGGTTGCTAGCTATTGTAACAGTGAAGAAAATTAAGCACTGTGACTGTCTGCCAAGGGAAGTGTTAAGTTCATCATTACAGTGTCTTTAAATGAAGATTGCTTGTATCTCAGAGTCACGCTCTAGTTCCACCACAATAGATTTCACTTGATTGTGTTCAGATAGTTGGCAAGAATGGAATAATTCGCCAGGCTGTAGGAATCATTAACCAAGAGGCCATGGCTTGTATTATCCCAGAGGTCAAACAAAAGGATGAGAAGGAGTGAAGGGAGAATATTTTTGAAAAACATTTCTGTCTTTATAATTTATTAAAGCTTACTGATCACATAAAGTAGATTTCTGTAACCTGATGCTCTCCAAAACTATGAGAATACAGTTCACATTGGATATGATGGTTGAGGATAATTGGTATAGTGGGCCCTTGTAATTGTTTGGGTTTAGTTTCAGCTTTCCCCATGGATACAAAAATTCGTGTATGTTCAAATCCCATTATATGTAATAATGCAGCAAAATAGTATTGCTACCAAAGGAACAATGACAAAATTAAAGCTTGTTTTTTGCAATAGGTGGAGGAAAGATATATTTCAAGCCACGGATGACTGAATCCATGGATACGGAAAGTTCCAGGTTGTGGAAGACTGACATAAATAAAGTTCAAAATATTTTTAAGGCTGTAGAAAAGATAATGCAGACACTATTCTTGCTTGTATTCATCAGAGCTAATCTGGTATTTTTCAACAAATGGATTATATAGTATTCAATATGTGCACACAGAGCTGCCATTCCTGCTAGCTCTGCAATGCTAATAAAGACTGCCTCTTGACTCTGGAACTCCCTGTCCAGTGAAGCTAGAATGACCCCCTCCTTGTTGTCCATCTGGTGGCAGGCTAAAACCTTTTTGGGATAAATGGTATTCATCTCCAATCAGAAAAATCATTCTCTATATCCAGCATGTTTCAAAGTTTGCGCCTCTTCACACTACATGTTGTGCCATCGAGGAGCAAGCCCACATGGCTCTCATTGAACACATTGACTTTCCCTGTCGCCACGACTTATATGGAAGTTGTGATGAAGACACCTCAAGGAGGGGACTCAGCTGGTACCATCTACTTTTGGGTGACAAAGGAGCTGCAGTGTTTGTGAGAAAGGCAGGGATGCAAGTTGTCACTAATTTTACTCTTTAAAGAAGCAATTAGTAATTTCACCCATTTTCTTCCTGTTGTGATAAAGTGCACACAGTTTTCAAAGGCTAGTCACAATTTGGGGACTTATTCTATTAAAATTCACACATGGTATTTTTGCATAGCCTTTTATGTGCAGAAAATAGTATTTCTTTTGCATAGAAAATAATTTTTTTGCACAAAAATACTGTGGTTGAGAATTTAATTTGAGCAAAATTTGTAATTTTTTGATCAGAAAACTGTATTTTTTTTCACAGACAAGTCTTTCAAAAACATTGTTTCTAGCTCATAATAGAGTTTCTGTACAAACCCACATGTATAGCTTTTATGTAAAAATAGCTTGGATACCATGCAGTGTCTGGATTATTTGAAAAAGGCATTGTTTATTTTGGGAAGTTAGGTCATATCATTTAATTAATTAGTAACACTATTTATTAGGAAAAAGCCAGAATGTGATTTTGCTTTTTATGAATGCTACAATTAGAAAAGTCATAATAATGTGGGTGAAGTACAATTTCCAGAATTGTGGGTCAGTCCTCCCCAAACCAGGCCTGTATGCACAGTTGGCCATGTTGGGTCTGTGTGCCAAGTTTGGTCCAGATCTGTCGTCGGCTGAGTTCAGTGCTCTCTGGATAAGGGTGAACTACAACTCCCATATGCCAAGGGGAATCACCCCCAAATCCTGCCATTATTTACAGTTGGCCTCAGTCACCCAGACCCCTCCAGCCTGTTCAGTTGCTGATCAATTCCTCTCTGTTTGCTGTGTGCCTTAGGAAAGGGTAGGAAAGAGTTAAGGGAGAGGCAGTGGGCGGGGTCATGCAAATTCCACACAAGGAACCCTGGGATGGCTGTCTGTGGTGGAGGTAACACATCCAATCTAGGATGAAATTTTTCCTGAATGAAAGCATTCCTTGGGTGGTGGTATGTAGTGTTTGGGGAGGACGTTGGCAGCATTTGGGGTACATATTCATGGTGCTTGCTATAACCTGCAATGTCAGTTGAGGGAGTGCCTTTGGAGGCTTCTCAGCACTTGGAAAGATGGCCTGTTCATGGAGGCTGGAGGCTATCTAAGTAGACATCTTTGCCACATGCACACATACACATTTTTCACTTTTATGAGGTGTATAGATAGATATAGATATATCTCAAACTTTGAAGATTCTTGTCAATTTGGTATTCTTTCCATCACAGTTCTCCAATACTTGAGAAACACTTTTTAAACACTTTAAAAACCTTGTCAAAATTGTTTCCATCTCTAGAGGAGAGAATGGTAGCACAATGAATATATTATAAACCAGGCCTAAACTCTGATGGGATGTGGACTCAATTCATAAAAGCCTTAGGAAGACAAAATATTGAGCCTGTCATCTAGATGCCATTCCCTTATGTGTCCCACAGCACCATAATTAATTCCAGCATATCACAGTGAAAGTGAGTTTCTTTTAGAATGAGGACAGAGCATTAGAAGAAGGCTAGTCATGCTGAAAGAAATCATCACGTACAGATGGTAAAAATGCTCTTATCATTAAAAAGGTTGAGATTGCAGACCTGTGAAAAAAGGCTATTTCTTTTTCTGTCTTCGTTCTCCCTCTCTGCCCTTGCTGAATTCATTGTGATGGAAAGTCAAGCACTAAAAGCCAGTCTTGAATGTCACTGTTCTTGTACTAGAACTGAATGTACAAGCATAGAGTGCGCCTGCAGCCTTGAGTCTCCTATGAAGACGACTTGATTTTATCCTATCTTCATCTCTGCATAAGGGCTTACAAGACTGGCAAAGAGAGCATGCTAGGCTTGTAAGCCTTTTGTAAAAGTTCAAGTCAATGGACAAACAAGGGCTTAGGTCCGTTCCCATGACACAGTGATAGTACTCGATTTCACTTCCATTGTCATGGAAGCATCTTATGGATTCCTGGGATTTGCAGTTTAGGATAAAGCATTTAGAATTCTCAGGCAGAGTATCACAGTGCCTCATCAAACTACAAACCCCAGGATTCAGTCACAGTTAAAGTGGAATCATAGTGCTGCAACTGGATAATGTGAATGGACCTAAGTGCAGGAACTTAAGGATCTTCTGAATGCATAGCCTGCATTACTACATTGCAAGATGCTCCACTTAAGCAGAAAAAATGAAATGCAAAGATACAGAATAGGGAACGCTTGGCTCGAGAGCAGTATGTGTGAAAAAGATCTTGGAGTCCTCGTGGACAACAAGTTAAACACGAGTCAACGATGTCATGCGGCAGCTAAAAAAGCCAATTGGATTTTGGCCCAATATGGCATAATATAGTGTCTAGATCCAGGGAAGCCATGCTATCCCTCTATTCCGCCTTAGTCAGACCATACCTGGAATACTGTGTCCAATTCTGGGCACCGCAAATGAAGGGAGATGTTGACAAGCTGGAATGTGTCCAGAGGAGGGCAACTAAAATGATCAAGGGTCTGGAGAACAAGCCCTATGAGGAGTGGATTAAAGAGCTGGGCATGTTCAGTCTGCAGAAGAGAAGGCTGATAGGAGACATGATGGCCATGTATAAATATGTGAGGGGAAGTCATAGAAAGGAGAGAGCAAACTTGTTTTCTGCTGCCCTGGAGACTAGGACACAGAACAATGGCTTCAAACTACAGGAAAAGGAGATTCCACCTGAACATTAGGTAGAACTTCCTAACTGTGAGAGCTGTTCAGTAGTGGAACTCTCTGCCCCAGAGTGTGGTGGAGGCTCCTTCTTTGGAGGCTTTTAAACAGATGTCCATCTGTTGGGGTGGTTTGAATGCAATTTTCCTGTTTCTAGGTTGAATGGAGTTGGACTGGATGACCCACGAGGTCTCTTCCAACTCTATGATTCCATTCTAGGTTGACTGCACTATAAGGCAGGGAGATACTGCTCCCCAGGCAGCTGATGTTAAAATAGGGAAAGGCTGGAAAAATAATTTATTTTGGGATTATAGCCCCCAGAACTAAAATTTGAGTACCGGTATTTATAGTTCAAAAAAGGTCACTTTTCTAAAGCCTGAAGCTACCAAATCAATAGTTATTTCATTGAAACTGGATTTTTACTGCCAGGAATGGTGGCAGAAGGAGCTTCTCATAGAATTAATACTGTAAATCCTAGCATTTAATATACTTTACATGGCGGAGGGAGGTGGTGTCATTTGATCTTCCAGCTCAGGCTGCAAACCACACTGGGCCTGCTTAGAGCATCAAATCCTTCATGGTTCACTCCACTGAAATCAGCATCATTTGTTTTCCTTTGTTTTTAAAACCCTGTTTGTTGGATGGTCTTTAGGATAATTTTATGTGACTGTGGTCTGTTTTCCATGTCATAAATGATTTATTATGTTCTTTCCTCTTTACAAACAAGGTGTAAAGCTGCTTTAATTTAAATTGTTAGTAATCCTTCTTCTTAATTATAAAACCTATTGGTTTCTGTTTATCTGTTTCATATTCTCTTGCATTTCAAGCTGCAATATATATATACCGTATATTCCGGCATATAAGACGACTGGACGTATAAGACGACCCCCAACTTTTCCAGTTAAAATATAGAGTTAAGACAACTCCCATGCATAAGACTACACCCGCGTATAAGACGACCCCTGACTTTTGAGAAGATTTTCTTGGGTTAAAAAGTAGTCTTATACGCCAGAATATACTGTATATATTTCCAAACCTGAGGACCTGAGTCCTTCAGTGTTAAATTGTGTACAGCTTGGCCAATAAACAGATTACAATCCATCCTCCACATTTACAGGTTTAATTTTTGTGGATTTGATTATCCATGAATTTAATTAATATGTTCTCTCAAGGAATTTCTAGATTCTCCAGGGCAATTCTATGGTCAGTTTCCAGAAGAAGTTGACCATAGAGTCAAGCTGGAGGGCCTAGAGATTCCTATAGAGCAGTGATTCTCAAAGTGGACATTACTCCCCCCTAGTGGGTGCTGCAGCTATTGGGGGGGGTAACGGCCACAGGTGCATTTGGGGGCGATGAATAAATGTAAGGGGGCGGTGAAAGCATAAAAGAAAGAAGAGAAGTTTAGAAAAATTGATTTTCTGGGGGTAGGCCAAATAAGTTTGGGAACCACTGTTAGAGATATGTTCTCAGTTAAAAACATAGCAGGTTTTGTATTTGTTGTTTCCCCAGTTTTGTGGGGGGTTCTGTGAAAGTGGAAGGCCTGCTATATATTGATAGCTTCTCTGGTGCTTTGCCCACTGAATCATGTCTACTAGGTACTGTCTTCTATCAGCATAAGAATAAGTCATGTTTTTAAACATGGATGGATGAGTATTTGGTTTGGTCCATATTTGTAAATGAATCAATTTAATTTCCTAAACTAATATACAAATCAGAGCACATTGAATTTTGGATCGTACACATCTCCAAAATGTATAATATAATTCTCTGCTCCAAAATGAACAAGTAAATTGGTATATTAGTGAAAATGCACATCCCAAAAGTGTATCCGGAGGAATTGTGTACAAATATGTATATTTTATGAGGGGAATTAGTAGAAATTTAATATGAATTTTCATACATGAAAATAAAATGGCAGAAAAACATTTTCTGTCATTTTGATGTGAAAAATGGAACATTTCCTAGTTTAAAGTACTCTGATTCATGAAGATGCTTTGGAATATGAGACGTCAGTCACTTGTGTCTTCTCACTGTGCTCTTTGAAGCTAGGGTCACAATTTAAGTCTTTCTACACCCTATTACATTCAGATTCCCCTTCTAAAGCTATACTTCAAATGCCTGTCCTCTAATATTGTACTCCATCAATGCATCTAAATAAGTGGATGAATATGAAAGTTCATGCTGAAATAAAGTTTGCAAGTTACTATTAGATTCCTTCTTCCCACCATCCCTCATTTCCCTTTTGTTTGTTAGTTAGTTTGTTTTTGCTACAGCACACACATCAAATGCAAGGCCTATGGGTCAAATCTGGCATGCCCTGTCATATTATGTGGCCTGTGAGGTTTTCAATGCCAGGGTAACATGGTGACATTTATACAGTCTTACAAATACCAATAGCCCTTTGAAGGCAATCATAAAGCTGATGTGGCCCTCAATGAAGATGAATTTGACACCCGTTTTAGAGCATTAGCATGACAATTCTTACTGTATTGCCTCTGGTCTTTCTCCTTGATGTTCCGCTTGGCAGTGCTTGGCTCTGTCCGACCTAGGCGTCTGTCCTGCAGGCTGTTGTAGAAGCCAAGGGTGCGGCGCTTGGCTTTGCGGACGATGTGGCAGACATACTGAAAGATCTCCTCATAGCAATCTCCTGGCTCCATATAGCTTGCCACAGTGCTGGAGGACAGGTATCGTGCTCGTTGCTCTTGCATCAGCTGGTGTTCTCGCTGCTTGGTTTCCGAAAACTGTGTAGCAATGACTACTAAGCATAGATTGATCATGAAGAATGAGCCCACCTAGGAACCAGTGGAGAAAAGATGCATAGAGCCATATGTTTACAATAAGAAGTTTAAGGGGGGGGGGGGAGGGATTTCAGAAAATGAAGTAGAAGATGTGGATGAAACACCGCTTCATGTAAAGTATTGCATCTAGTTCTTATTTATTTGGGATATCTGGAGCCTTTCCAACTGCCTGACAAGCAGTCTCCAAATCAGTTGGTACTAATAAAATGTTTTTTTGTTCCACAGGCCTTTGATGTAACTGATACATGTCTGTAGGAACAAACTTAATTTGGAAACAAGTCCCCTTGACAAGACTTTCAACAGCTTTCCTTGACAGGGGCAGGCAGGCAGGGAAGAGAATACTGGATATTTTATTTTTACTTCCACCATTATGCAGCCTTGGGCAAAGCACTTTGGGGTGAGGATGTTGGTTGAATTTAGCTCCCTTGCTGTTCTCCACTTGCTCTTCCAGTCCTTCCTGCCCTTTAAGAAGTGCTCTGAGAACCAACCTCATAGGCATAGTTAAAAATGCATAGCTATATATCACCTCCTGATTCAAATCCCCAAACCTACTCAAACAGCCAGCAGTGGCAATGAGTGACATGCATTTGTTCTGCTGGTGATCAGGGTGCAACAGGATGACATTTTCTGCCCCCATGTACATTTGGATCATCAGCACAACAAACCACTTTCTCTATGAAGGAAGGTTTCGGGGAGGGCATTTGCAATTGTGACAGTAGAGTGCCACAACTGTAAATATGGATAAAAAAAAGTTAAGAATTGGCTGTCTGTTAACTGAGTGACTTTAACTCAATATCTCTATTCCTCAATGGTCTTTTATTTTTCATTTTTGTGTATGTGTTCATTCTGGTTGTAAGCCTGTGACCAATATTAGGCGGCTTTTATTCTTTCATATTTTTATTTCTCCTATCGTCTTAAAATACAGCTCTTCGAATTTATTTTAAAATATAAGAAATTATAATGAAGTTGGTGATATTCAGAAAAAAAAACCTATTCTCAATCTGGTATGGGAATAGGAATAGCTATGTTCCCAAACTTAATGTAAAAGGCAAGAAAGATTTATTTAAGAGATGACTTTCAACAATGTTATTCATGTTCTAGCAATGGCATTTCTGTAAAACTGTGGCAATTGAAGGGGAAATGGGTACTACTTTCCAATTACCTTCAAAAGGCCCATTCATTGAATTTGCCTACTCAGTCTTTTGTGTACTGCCAAATACCAAAAAGTTGTTTACACCGTTGAGCACAGCCTAACCTGAATGTAGGACAAACGTGACAAATAAATGAAAACACCCAAAAAGGCCTTTGAAAAACTGAGACTGGCCAGCTTAGGTATTAGGGTAAAACACTGTTTCAAGACAAAATAGAAAAGGGTTTTTTTCCCCCTAAATATCTTTCTAAGTTTTTAAAAAATAGTTTGGAGTTTTATCTATCCACTCCCCTTTATGTACTTCCTCTCTTCCTTCTTTTTAGAAAAAAAACATGTTCCTCAATGCAATGTCCTTCAGATGTACTGAACTACAGTGAGCTAATATACCTCATCAGCAATACTGGATGTGGATTGTGAGGATTATCATCCAATTGGGGGGGGGGGGCACCAGATTTCTAAATGTTGTTTTAGAAATTTGTGTGTGCTTTTGAAGATGAGGAAGGTGGTGATACAGAAAGTACTGTTTTGGCTTCTGAGAACTTTGCTTAGTACATGCTCTCCTTTTTTCTCTTGTTGCTAAGTCTTTAAGAGTCCCAGCTTCTTCCAAAACATATCCTAGCCCGGGGCTTCTCAACCTGTGGGTCCCCAGATGTTTTGGCCTTCAACTCCCAGAAATTCTAACACCTGGCAAACTAGCTGGGACTCTGGGAGTTGTAGACCAAAACACCTGGGGACCCACAGATTGAGAACCACTGTCTTAGCCCGTTCCTGTTGCCAACTTTGTTATCTTGTCAGCAGAAAATTTGAACAGACAGAAATGCAAAGCATTCCTTATTAGCTTGGTAGACTTTCCTCTGGCCTCCATGTTGGTATGTGAAAGGAAAGACAAGAAGTAGGATCAGTTTAAAGCAGTGCTGAACAACCCTAGAAAGTCCAGACAGGTGCAATTTCCCTCACTCAAGGCCTGCCGTAGACTGTATCATCCCATGCTGCTGAATCCTATAGTGAATAGAAGTTCACTTCTATTATTGTTTTTCAAAAGCTTATTTTTTTCCTTTGCCACAAAGGTGGACTCTAGCCAAGATGCTACATGACAGAGTATAGGGCAAGCATTCTGCATGTGGGCTCCACTGTGTCAGTACCCCCAGGACTTGTCCTTTCAATACAAGAAAATGATATGTTCCTCAAGGGGAATGTTGTTACTGTTATCCTAACAATTTGGTTTGTACGTGATGGATAAGCAACCTTATTGGATGCACAATCTTGAATTGTGTATTCCTGCATGGCAGGAGATTGGACTAGGCAGCCTTTGCTATCCTTCCCAGTTTTATGATTCTATGTTTCTAGACTACAACTGGGGAAAAGTAAAATGTGATCAAACTTTTAGATGTTTATGTAACTGTTTTCAATATGTATGCTCTTTCAAGTGATGTTACACTCCTTTTTTTTTTACAAAACTTGGTATTGTGTTTTTTTAATTAGTGTTATCTGTTTTTCTATGTATTTATATGTCACTTCTTCTTTCTTAAAGGAGACTCAAAGTAGCTAACACTAAAAATTATACAATATGTAAATTAAAACTCAAAGCAAACAAACATTTTAAAAATCAAACATTGGATGTATAACTGCTATTATGCATTCATTTCTTGTTATATTTTATTCTATTATTCCATGTTGTGACCTTGGGGGAAAAGTGACCAATGAATAAGGTTAGTTTCTCCAACTCAATGCACTCTTGGTGTATTGAAATTCAATGTTCGTTGCCCATAACCAGCACAGGTATTGGCTACACAGGTTAAGGATGATGGGAGTTGCAGTCCAACATTTCTAGAGGTCACCAGGTTTGCAATGATTGACTTAGATTATAAATTCTTTAAGTCATGTACATAGTAATCTGAGTGTAGGGAGGTTATGCCAGGCAGATAGAACCTGTGTGGTGTAAAGGGCCAACATGGTTCAAATTCTGGAATAGGAATTTGGAAGCCCAAGATTCAAACCTCAATCCAGCCATAGAAATCCACTGAGTGATCTCATCCTCAGAGAAAAGCAATGGCAAACCCCTCTAATAAATGTTTCCCAGAAATCCTATAATAAGTCACTGATGACCTTATCCCACAAGCAGGGGGGGGGGGGAGAGGGGGAGAGGAGGAAATCAGAGGAAAATGGGGGAAAGCATCCTTAATAGTGGGAACATGACCTAAACCTGGCAAAACATGTCTTTGGGGATGGCCAGTAACCCCACAGTGTATCCCCGCTTTCCTCTGCTTCTTGCTGCTATTTTCAGTCAGGGGAACACCCAATTCTTTAAAATGGACTTTTATCTCCATCTTCTCACACTGGTGTGACAGATTTGCATGCACAGCCACCAGAAGTGGCTGTGCATCATGGGAAGACCTCCAGGGGACTCCATTATGTCAGTGTGAGAAGACAGTGATAAAATGGGAAAATTCATTGTGGGATAAGGTCCTGAGTTGGTGTTGACCTAAATGTATATAAGAATGGGAGTTATGCTACTTGTCAAATAATCTCAACTATAAATGACCATTTAAGTAAGGAAAATTAGATGAAAAATTATGGAAACTGATTTCTACAATGCTGAAGAATCTAATTCTAGAATTGGAAAATCAGTTTATCTATTAACTTCATTGGAAAGGTTTTCCTATTCAGAAAAAATGAAGAGCCAAAACTGGAATTATGTGCTATCTAGAATAATCTACAGATTGTTTGCTTTTCTACAGTATGTTTTAGAAGAATATGTGTTGCCTGTCAGACTTCCAATTTGTCTAGGATCTGATTCACTTAAGTAAAAGGGAAATTGTACTCACAATGATCAGCAAGATGAAGTAGATGAAGTTGTAGAATGAATGAGCATCCATCACATAGTACATAATTTCCACCCACCCTTCTAGTGTGATCACCTGCATGGAAAGAACAAGAAAAAAGGAAACATGGCAGTAACTAAAGAAAGACAATGAGTTAGAATGATCGAGCCCATTTTAAGATGTTTTATTTCATTAGCAAACAATCTCTCACAAAAGCGAAAAGCCAACCAATTTGTTTAGTCCTGATAGATCACTAAAGTAACATAAGTCTGATTCAGTTAGCAGTCTTTTCCCTATGGCATGGATAAAAGGGTGGACAGCTTTGCTGATGTGAGGAATAACTGCATTCGAATCAGCATTACCATTTGCTTGGAAAGTCCAACTGACTTCAGTGGGCGATATTTAAGTACATCATTGTCTCCTACAGTTATATCAATGGATAATGCTTAAGGGTGGGCCAGTCTTAATTTTTGAATTCATACATGAAAAGTTGTAGTTAAAGGTTTGGGGTGCATTTCCAGGTCTCTCTTATCATGAACTGAAACACAAATGGGACATGTTTAAATAGAGTAGCTACATAAACTAAGGTAGCAGTAACCAAGGAAGGTCAGCCCTAGTTAGCACTTGAATGGGAGACCACCAATGAATACTAAAAACTGTAGACTATATTTCACAGAACAGAACTCGTAAAACTACCTCTAAGTATTCCTTGCCTCAGAATTCATGGGGTCATAATAAGTCAGCAGGCAATTTGAAAGCACATACACAAAAACTACGGAGTCAGATATAAATGTTCACTGCAGTAGTTCTTTACAGCACATTTCAGATATTTTGCAAAATAGTTAAGAACTGCAGCCACTTAATCATCAAAATGTCACAAACTATGCATCAATATCCTCATATTTGGAGCTGAAATGGATGAAGTCACACATTCAATTTAAGTGATAGCTGTGTTGGGTGGTATACACGGATAATAACCATGACAGTTAATGTTCACCAATAGGCTTATTTGCAGTCTTCTGCAGAGCAAAAATTCAAAGTGATAAGGCAATGACTGACAACACACATATTCAAAGTATGCAGTTGGGGCTGCAATTAAACTGGATTTCTGTTTCACTCTGTCCTAAAGGCATGCTGAGTAACAAGTTGAAAAACAGTAGATAAAATTAGATAAAAAATAGTTGCAGCAAGAAAGATGCTGAAACCCCACACCACTATTGTCTTAACTTTATCAGGCCAAAAAAGAGCTGACTTGAATCTGTTGATACATGTAACAGGTTTTTGCTTTGCAAACTTAAGTAAATGAGGCTTTAAAGAAAAAGACATCAAATGGGACTGTAGCTCTTGAACAGTGGGCTGTGATATGAAGATAATGCAGTGTTTTAGCCATTAAAATACATTTATTTATTTCATTTATATACCACTTTCCCCAACCTCCTGGGAGGACTCAAAGCGGTTCACAACAAAGTAAATGGCAAAATTCAATGCCTCACAAAATATAAAATACAACACATAACTAAAATAGCATGTAACAATAGATTAAAACCGGTAGACTATAAAACATTAAATATTATAAAACATTGGGCATTTCACCAATCCCGAAGTTATCATGGCTGCTTCATCTCACTCTCCAAATGCTTGCTTTAAAAGCCACATTTTAAGTATTTTCCTAAATGTCAGGAGGGACAGGGCCAATCTGATCTCGCTGGGGAGGGAGTTCCACAGCCGAGAGGCCACCATTGAGAAGACCCTGTCTCTTATCCTCACCAGTCATGCCTGCAAGGGCGCGGGGTCAAGAGCAGGACCTCCTCAGACGATCTTAATGCTCTAGCTAGCTCACAAAGGGAGATATGCTCAGCTAGGTAAGCTGAAACGGAACTGTTTAGGGATTTATAGGCTAAAGCCAGCACTTTGAATTGTGCTCGTAGCTGGCTCAACAGGGGGGTTAGAATCCTAGCTACTGCCTGTTGAACTACTTGAAGCTTCCGAACAGACTTCAAAGGCAACCTTACATATTATTATTATTATTATTATTATTATTATTATTATTATTATTATTTCGAGCATTTAAATCCTGTCCTTCTCACCTCCGAATAAGGATTCAGAGTGGGTTACAACAGGCAACCATTAGATGCCAAATAATACACTAAAATACACAGTTACAATTAAAACAGCAATTAAAACAATGATAAACATTCAATTTAAAACTGTCCGCTGTTTCAAAATCATAGTCCAGGTCAATCCATTGTGGTCACTTAAAACATTCTCTTCCCAATTGCTACATCTATTTACGTAGAGTGCATTGCAATAGTCTATACGAGATGTAACGAGAGCATGGACCACTGTGGCCAAGTCTGACTTCCTAAGGTTTGGGTGCAGTTAGCGCGCAAGTTTTAATTGTGTGAATGCTCCCCTAACCACCTCTGCACCCTGAGGTTCCAGACTCAGTGATGTGTCTAGGAGAACTCACAAGCTGCCAGTGCTTCTCAAGCGACTTAATATGGGGAACTGGTATTTTCCCCCCAAAACATGCTAGAGATTGATACCATTATTTCTTTGACATGTCTTTCTTTCCTAGAAACTTGTTTTGGACTGGCAACCAAAGGCCCTCAAGTAAGCACTAGCCCACAGACCACTACTCTGAAAATTATTAACTCAACCCACTGCACTAAGATGGTCCTGAAATTCTAACATGTTAAACAGGTCAGATTAAAAAACAAAACAAAACAGAGCCCTGACTATCTGATAAGTTTGGTTCTGTCTCTCTTTCACTAGGGCTCATCCGACAGAGCTTCTTAGATTATGCCAGTGCTTTGCTGATGGACAAAATAGATTAAGACAGAATGAGGGTAGGATTAGCTCTTGGGAGACAAAGAAAGAAGAGAGAACTTTTTGAAGAAAAGTAGGATTTGGGTGCAAAGAGACATAATTATGGTGAAAGGTGCATCGTTTTCGTACTGAAACTACTGACAGCTTTGAAATTTTCTTGGAGAAGTCAGAGCAGCATTTTTTTTTAAATCAAAAACAACATACATAGTGGGATTTTTCAAGAGCAACTCAAAAAGTGACATTATATAGTTTTAAAACTAGGAGCAGATTCCACACAGGGAAATTGTGAATTGCAGGTGGAGACATTTTCATGCCTCCACTTGGAATTTCTTCAGGTGTGAGAAAGCCAAAAGTGGTGTTCAGGCCAACAAAAGACCAATGACTGCACCCTGGCATTGAAGTGTTAGGTATGAATTCACATTTGAGAAAAGACAGCAGATGCAAAAGAGATCTTCCATGGTAACATACCGCATTAGAATCATATAATCACAGAGTTGAAAGAGACCTTGTGGGTCATCCAGTCCAATCCCCTGCTAAGAAGCAGGAAAATAACATTCAAAGCACCCCTGACAGATGGCCATCTAGGTTCTGTTTAAAAGCCTCCAAAGAAGGAGCCTTCACCACACTCCGGGGCAGAGAGTTCCATTGCTGAACAGCTCTCACCATCAGTAAGTTCTTCCTAATGTTCAGGTGGAATCTCCTTTTCTGTAGTTTGAAGCCATTGTTCCACGTTCTAGTTTGAAGCCGTTGTTCCACGACCAACAATGGAATGTCTGCAGATACTCCTGCTGCAGCTGTACAAGTTGGTATTTTGGTTGACCTAGCTGTGATTTTTAGAAGTGATAGCTTACTAAATGTGAGTAGGTGAGACACATTTAGCAAGATAGTGGGACCGGCTGAGCAACCCTGTTTTTAGTCAGTATCTGTCCACAACCACTGTGTCATATTTGCTGCCGTTGCTGGAGGGATGTTGATGTATAGGAGGTAAGGCAACATCTCAAAATAGAAAACTTAAATACACAAATAAGTGATCCATTTAGGTCAGCCTCAAGATGGCAGCCAAAGGGAAGCTATTTCTTACAAAAATGGCTGGCCAATCAGTAATCATTCTATGCAAGGATTTAAAATGATCAATCTTAATCATTCAAAAATATTTTAAATCTTTTTAAATTCTTAATTTAAAAAAAATATTCTAAGATGGCTTGAATCCCATCTTGGGAAAAAGGTGTAATATAAATGGAATTAATGAATTGATTGATTGATAGTATGTGAAGCTGTTGCATCCCACACTTTTCATGCAGACCATTTGCTATTTAAAGCCTCCCATTCAAATTTTAACACTGACTGACTAGTGCTAGAATTCCTTTTTGGCATGGGGTCCAAATCATCATCCTCACTTCTACTGCCCAGTAAATCTAAAATAATAGAAGGCACCCCCTCTCCTAACATCTCTACAGTGGGCACAGAAGAAATGGATAGTGGTGCCAAATGGGCAGCTTGTCCCTTTGCCAGTGTCAACAGAGTGTGCTCCAGGTCAGAAGGTTGCTTTATGTGCTTGGGTTGCTCAAGTGTAATTGAATCTGTTCTCTTCATTTTCTCTTTGTCAGGTCTGACCTTAGAGCAACAAAAGAATGGTGAAAAAGATGCAAGAAGAATGCTAGACGAGATCTTATATAATGAAAAGAAAAATAACACAGAAGCAAAACACCTAAGTAAACTTCAAAAAGAATAATAAGACACATATTTAACAAGGTTACATTACAAGCAGCTAAGAGAAAGCTCTGGTCTAGTCCTAGATAGTAAAAAGAAACTGATGAGGAGAGCAGAAAACCTGCACGAAAAAGTGAACTCTCTCTGTGTGGTGAGGAACATAAGCCCAATTCATATGGATCCCTCCTTGCACCAATTCAGAGAATGTAGAATTTTCTTGTAAGGTACCAGGAAACCAGAACCAGAGGTTCTGGGAGGTAAAACAAAACATATTAATTTCTGCATCACTGGGACAATTCTTTGTGATTCTCAGTGGGGAAATTATCAACCAGATTTCTGCTTGGTTGTAGTACCATTTCTTTGGTAGGCAAAACTGGAACTACATCTATTCGGTCCATTGGTCCAAAACAAGGATTTAATAGGTTCTACTTAACCATGGTAGCCTTGGTTACGTTGGCCCTGGCTCTCTGCAGGTCATTCACTAGGCTCCCCCGTGTGGTTCTGGGATTTTTGCTCACTGTTATTGTGATCATTTTGACCCAGCGGGGTGAGATCTTGTGTGGAGCCCCAGATTGAGGGAGATTATCAGTGGTCTTGTATCTTCCATTTTCTAATTATTGCTCCCACAATTGATTTCTTCACACCAAGCTACTTGCCAATTGCAGATTCAGTCTGGTGCAGGGAGACAATTTTGTTTCTGGTATCCTTCGACAGCTCTTTGGCTTTCACCATAGTGGAGTTTTGGAGTGTGACTGCTTGAGGTTGTGGACAGGTGTTTTTTATACTGAGGACAAGTTCAAATAGGTGCCATTACTACAGGTAATGATTGGAGGACAGAGGAGAAGAAGTTACAGGTTTGTGAAGTTACAGGTCTGTGAGACCCAGAAATCTTGCTTGTTTGTAGGTGGCCAAATACTTATTTTCCACCATAATTTGCAAATAAATTTGGTAAAAACCAGACAATGTGATTTTCTGGATGTGTTTTCTCATGTTGTCACTCATAGTTGTCAATTACAGGCCTCTCTCATCTTTTTAAGTGAGAGAACTTGTACAATTGGTATCTGACTAAATACTTCTTTTCCCCACTGTACCTTTCTCAGAATCAGCCCTGAGCAGCCAGCACCTAACACAAAGCTTGCTTTCAAGCATGTTAGATGTAGCATCATCCCATGAGAAACACAACCTGTGTAAGGACATATCCTGATGTTTCAGCAAAGAAGAAGTAAACTTGCAGTATAAAATTAGCACTGGGTTTTAGACATTCCTAATCAAATTACCTGAAATATAACAATCCATGCATAGCCAATGTTGTCAAAGTTGATGGCTCCTTTATGAGGATTGGCATTGCCTGTGCGGCATTCACTGTAATATTGATTCCAGTTGACACACATTCCACTGACATTGAACTCCTGTCTGACAGAAGTGTAGTAGAAATAGTCATCTTTGTCCAAACAGCATACATGGCCTCGCTCCTTCAGTGGGGGAATCTCATGACAACCCATGATGCCATTATCTCCTGATAGTGAACAGATGAAGGGCATTTCGTCGTCCTCCTCAGGTTGGTAGTATGGAGGAAGGGTGATGTTACCTTGTCTGAGAAGACAGAAAGAACATCCTAATAAAATGGCCATTGCAAACATTTGATATAATGTCTGTGGAGAATGGGAGAACCGCTTGAACACAATAGCTTCCCAACTATTAAATCAGCAGACAGAAAGGCAGTACTCATTAGACCATTTTCAAGAGGTCAAGATCCAGTTTCAGAGACTATATAGTAAGGTCTACAAGCACTCCTCCCCTTCCCCAACTTATTCTCCATTTAGCAACAATCACAATTTGCTGTCATAGCCAACTCAGCAAATGATGGTTAATGTTTGCTCTCCAGACCAGGATTAGATGTGAAGGTAAATCCTTCATGTATTCTGTTGCACAGATCTATTATCTTCTGTGTGATTGAAAGCACGGATGGTGACATTGAGTTGATTGACTGAAGAATTCCCACCTTCAGACTTTCATTCTCATTGTAAGACATACAAGAGTTACAACTGTGGAGAGGCTGAGGACAGGTCAGCATGTTCCTCTTTACTCCTCCCCTCTATATGGATTCTGGAATAGATCTTTTGTTTCTAATTCTGATTTAGAGGGCAAATGTTCTGCAAAATCAGGTAACACAGGAAGTTGGAGGATGTTCTGAACTGAGGCCCAACCCCATGCAAAATCCTCCTCGACCCGTCCCACACACACTCAGTGGGAAGAGAGCTTGAGGAAAAAGGCCTAAATAAGAATAGTTTGGATCATTTTTTTTCTCCCTCAAGCTGAATGCTTTCCACACAGTTTGAAATAGAGCAGGCAACAGATGTATGCCTCGTGGAGCAAATGGGTAATCTGGTGCTATGCCAGTGTACAGAATCACATAGAGTACTGTACTTATTTCCTAACATGTGATAGTACTACTTCTCATAATATTGAATCCAAATTTAAAACTGTAGTAGTAAGCCCAGGGAAATTAAGATGGGTTAAAAATTTAAACTGAATGAATAAGAGGTGGCCAGCATCCTAGCAGTTTTGCTTTTCCCAGGATCACACAGGGGTGGCATGAACAGGCAGGAAAAATCTGCTGGCTCTGAGCAGCTTATTACTTCAATAAGAAATTCTTCCCCCAGAACAAGATAAAGGCCCTTTTCTCCTGCTGCTGATTCTTACACTGGCATAAGAGTAAGGTCATTAAATATTAAATATTCCAGGTGAAGCCATAGGGTCACCCAGGGGACCTAGCAAATTTCCAGATGAAAGCAGATGAAACTGCAGATATGGGTTCTGAAGTTTTGGGGGTCTGCCTGTATATACAATGCTACAAAGTGGGTGTCATGTTTCCCTAGGCCCTTTCGCAATAATAAGGTGGGTGTTGGTGGAAAAGAAAGCATGAAAAGGCAGGTACTTGGTCTAGAAGACCTCATCACACTAGAGAATGAATCCACTTTAAATCTGGTTGCTGTCACCTGCTGAATTCTGGGGTTTGTAGTTTAAGAAGAACCATTTACAGCTAAACTACAAACCCCAGAATTCTGCAGGAGGCATAAACCAGATTTAAAGTGGATCCATTCTCTAGTGTGATGAAGTAGCTAGGTCAGTACTACATAAAAGAAATAGAAGGAGAAAGCTTTACAAGCAGAAAGCAGAATGAAAGAACCAGTTCCTTGGCACTCACATGGTCAGATTCTCCTCCATGAAACAGCGATTTCTCAGTAGACCAGCCCATAACTGTACTCCGATGATGCCAAAGATGAAGAAGACGAAGAAACAGAGAAGCAGAACATTCCCCAGCATGGGCAGAGTGTCCAAAAGCAGATTCACCAAGATACGCATGCCTGGAAGAAGGGAAAGTGCCAAACAGAAAGGAATTAAGGAGAGGTCAAAAGGTAGAAGCAATAGTGGTGATGGAGGAAGAAAAAAAATTAAAGGAGTGGGAAAAGATAGGAGACAATACAAGAAGAAATCTAGGATGAAAAAAAGATGAAGGCATCTGCAATTTAAAATTCTTTATAGGTGTGTAGCTTTGCAACAGATCTGTAATAACACACATAGGCTAATTATGAATCCAGCCTTGGTTTGCTATGGTCTACCTCCTCTTGTTCTAATGCATATTATTTATACAAGATCAATGGGGAACTTCCCAAAACTCACCTTTTGTGAACACAAGAAACTCAAGCTCTGGAACTGCCATTATCATAAATTTTCTTAATTTTAAAATGTAAGAATTCAAAGAAACAATCACACTCAGTGGAAAAATGTGAGAACTGAATTTCTAAACAAAGCTAAATACCATTCTTCATCAAGGGTGTAGTTCAAAGCAATCTCATGTTCAGACCTAGGTTTTGTAGGAAATACATTTTACAATCTAGAACAACTTTCTTTAAAGATAAAAAAAGGATTTTAGGTAGAACTTTAGGAGTTTTGTACTTAAACACTATTGTATATTTTCTTGGGATGTTGATTAATTAGATAATATCCTCTTTCTCCCCTTGATCCTTTGATTTGCCAACCAATGCAGGATAGCACCCTTTATTAAATTAACTATAGCCCTTGTATTTTCCATAGCCAAATGCATTCTGTACATCTTTCTAATCATCAATAATTTAAAGCTACAGACAATGCGGTTACTGTTGCCCGATTTTGGTCAAAAATTATTTAGCCCCTTGTGCTCCTTCTATTTTGTATCAGTTTTATACTACTTATGTAATGCTTTTGACAATAAATAAATAAATGCCATCAATAACATTGCGAATCCCTCTACTTCTACTCCACCTGATTCTAGGTTTCCAATGAGACTCCCTTCTGCACAGGTCCAGGGAATTTCAGGTTGCAAGAGTCCATAAGTACACCAGGATATAATTGACTAATTAGCTATTTATAACTAGTTCATTACTTCAGATGGCTGGGGAAGGGGAAAGGAGAGAGAAAGATAAGATTACTTTTCAGTGGCAATCCCTTGAGGCACCGGTTAATCCCCATTTTATGCCCTCTGTCAAGTAATTATCCACATCAAGTTGCGCTTGACACTTCCTCACATTTTTCTGTGTTATTCCACTCCTGCACCTGGGAATAAAGGTGTCTGCGAGCTCTGAAGAGTGGATTGAAATGGGTACAATGAAAGATTAAGGCATTTGCACATAGAGGAAAACTGTGGTCACTATTTCCCATGAAAATAAATAGTTCCCTCCAGCCACCTCCTTTCTTAAAGATCTGGGAAAATCCAAGAGATGTCCAAAATGAATACATGTCCTAAACTGCTGACATAACATTAGTGGCCATTGTGTATTTATGTATTCAATTAATTATCAGCATTTAACTCAAGGGACTTGATTTTCACTAATAGTATAAAACTGATTTGTAATACAGTGTGCTAGATGAAACTGAAAGTTTAGCTATTTCTACAAATTTCTACAAATTTATTTCTACAAGTTTCTATAAATTTAGCTATTTCCACAACTAATGATGACAAAAAAATACCATCAGAGTTTTTCACACTTGTCACTGGTGGCATTTGGTCATCCATAAGCCACATTAGAAAGAAAGAGCTAAGGTTCGTTGAGGTTTGGCATAGAGAGACAGAGTGTAACTTTAAACCAACAGTAGCTCATTACAATTATGTATTAATACATTACCACATTTTGTAATTGGGTGTTTAAACACATGTGAAGTGTACAATTGCAATGCACAATTGCAACGCACAATTGCACCACATGACTTCATCTGCATGTGAACTTCCATATTAGATCAAAATGTCCAACTGCTTCTGTGGAATAACTTATGTATGTATAAATTACTGGTGGAATAGCCAGAATAATTGGATTTGACAACTTTGGTAAAAGTGACCTTGTTAGACTCATTCTAAGAAGAAATGCTCCTAGCCACAGAAATCTAATATATGTGAGGCTACAGGACATTTTGGAGGAAAACAAATCCCAAATTTTAAAAATGTCCATGGTTAAAAATATGCACAGTTGAAGGAATTCACACACATACATACTTTCATTAATGCAGAAAACATACACATTTGCCAGAATCCACACAAATGTGTATAGCAAGGGTGTGCATTGTGCATACAGTTTTGGGTGTTTTCTAGCAATACCTCAAAACATCCTCCAGAATCTCATTTTTAAAGAGAAAATTGGCATGGTGTTTTTGGACAATTGTTACCTTAAACTATATAGAATTTCCCCCAAATATGCAGAATACACCACTCCATGAGAATCCCAGAACCTTGCAGTATTCTGGGATCCCTCCATGTCCTCTGAAGTCCTTCTCAAAATGCCAACAAGAAGTGACAGTATGTTACTTTCTGCTGCTATTTTGAGAAGAGTTGTTGTTTATTTGTTCAGTTGCTTCTGACTCTTCATGACCTCATGGACCAGCCCATGACAGAGCTCCCTGTCAGCCGTCACCACCTCCAGCTCCTCTGAAGTCAAGCTAGTAACTTCAAGGATAACATCCATCCATCTTGCCCTTGGTTGGCCCCTCTTCCTTTTTCCTTCCATTTTCCCTCAACATCATTATCTTCTCCAGGCTTTCCTATCTTCTCATTATGAGGCCAAAAAACTTCATCTTTGCCTCTAATATCCTTAGCTCCAATGAGCAGTCGGGCATTATTTCCAGGAGTATGGACTGGTTTGATCTTCTCGTGATCCAAGACACTCTCAGAAGTTTCCTTCAACACCACAGTTTAAACGCATCTATCTTCCTTCACTCAGCCTTCCTTATGGTCCAGCTCTCACATCCATAGGTTACTATGGGGAATACCATTGCTTTAACTATGTGGACCTTCATTACCAGTGTGATGTCTCTACTCTTCACTGTTTTATCAGTCATTGCTCTCCTCCCAAGAAGTAAACGTCTTCTGATTTCCTGGCTCAGAATGTTTAATTCAACAGCTTCCTTCAATGTTTTCATGGGCAAATCTTCAATGAAAAATTACAACAAAAAGCATTGCTTATGTAAAAATTTCTAGATAAAATCTCATTAATAAAATTCAGCAGGCATCAACAGGTGCTTACTCAAGAATTCACTTCCAATAAAAGTACACCATTTGCCCAGTCTAAAATAACTTTTCCATTTGTACACATTTAATTTCTCATCTGAAAAGTTTTCTTTTATTTTTATTGTTGTTGTTATTAATGATGTTATTAATTTCCCCCCAATATTGAGGTACTGGATTTGTTACACACTGTTAAGACTGTTGAATGAGTCACTTATCTCAAGTTTAATTGGGGATTTCTTGATGAAGATTTTCAAAACAACTTCTAATTTTATGGAGTGATCATATCAGTTCTATTTTGGATTGTTTATCATTACCCAGGATGGTTTATGCTTTTTATGTCTATTATTTTTCTGTTATCAATATATTTTGTTCATAATTATTAATTTTTACTTGCTTCAGATTCAAGTAGTTCTTTAGTTACATGGTGTATACTACTGCCTGCCACTACTATACATTATTTGTCATATATGTTTTCAGTGTATTTATTGTTTGGGTCTTACAGTCACATTCCTTGCCTTTAGAACTGTTTTCTATAGTGACTTTGGTTTTAAGCCTCAGTACAATTATTAGTCTGAACAAGAACAGACTCAGTGGGAATTCAAGCCAATAGTATCATTGATTTAAAAGCGATATTCTCGTTCAGTGTTTCTCAACCTGTGGGTTCCCAGATTTTTTGACATTCAACTCCCAGAAATCTTAACAGCTGGTAAACTGGCTGGGATTTATGGGAGTTGTAGGTCAAAACACCTGGGGATCCACAGGTTGAGTACCACTATTCTAGTTAGATCAGTAACTATATTTTGGTTTCTAGCTATTAGCTATTTATCCATGTTGGGAAAGCTGTTAATATAAAGACATCAATATGCAATTATGTGCTCTGTTTTTGGAAAGGATGAATGTATTCATATGAAATCTTGTAATATTCTCAAAGAAAGAACAGTTGACTGAATATCCAGTCTCCACATTATACTCAAATCCTGGGCTCAATTCAAAACACTAGCAGAATCGGCCAGCAACTGGATTGTTTCTCAGACATCAAATTACTCATACTCAATATTTGTGGGCGTGTAGATTTGAATGCACTCTGGGGAGAAGTGGTTTAAATCTAATCATTAGATAGCAACTTTTAATCTTAAATTCAACTCTTGGGGGCAATTAAAAAGCTCATTCCCTTGACTATCTGAATATGGTGTCAGGCACCAATTGCTTCTGGAATATCAATTATTCACTAGGAGAATCTGGGCATTATGCCTGGGGGATATGGTAAGTAGTACCATAACTCACTCCCAACTTCCGTATACATGCAAGTGCAAACAACAATATGAGATAGTGGTCGGTTCTGTTAGTTTCTCAGATCTCTTCCGTCTGTCCTTGAACCTTCTTAGGTAGGCGATAGCTTGGAAAAATAGATTTTTTTTTTATGAAAGGTGAAAAATCAGCTCTTTCCAATAAAGCACGAGAACACCAAATGCATGGGCTTTGAGACCTGGGGTGTCCTCCTAAATAAGTGTAGAAATATACTGCCTTGTAGTACACTTTCACAATTATGCATACAACAGGTTATTTTTTTTACAAAATCCATTTTTAAACCATAATGTTCAGAATGTCACAATTCATCACAACTAGGAAAAAGCAAAGGCAAGGGGATGTTATTATGCAAGCTAAATGAGTACGCTTGGAAGATAGGCTTCATTATTCATAGGCTGTTGTTGATGATGATAACAGTTAATATATTGTGTATTGATGAGATCCCTTTAAGCACACATAATGAGAAAGCAGATAGTGAGCTTCTATTAAATGGTACAGAAAAAATACACACAACTACCAACA